ATATTTAAAGCAAACATCAACTAGACATTTAAGTGATAGACATGCGTTAATAGTGAAAATCAGGCACTGTGACGCCAACAACAGGCAGAAAACGTAAAATCAACAAGCAGAAATCAGCACTAACAACTCACACTATTATAACCCAACGACTGCGCTCTGCAGATCAGAAACACGGTCCATGAATCTTATACAAATGCATATCCCATGCTGCTTATTCAGGATAGGATCCTGGTGAAATTCATCTTGAATAATAAAGTTAATAAAGCAATTAAATAAAGTAATACGGTTTGTGGCCCTTTCAAATCTGGCCTCCTCATCATCTCCTTTACCTGGTGAATTCTCTCCTGCCCCTTCACCACCTTAGCTACTGCATGGTGAGCGTACTAGTGAAGAATGGGTGCGGTCTCGAAAAAGCGTTATATAAATGTAACATTCATCCATCCATTAATTCATTCACTCGTTATCTCTGAAATGTCCCCAAATCTGCAGCAATTTCATATTCATACAGATAGAACCCATTCTTTGGTATGTTTCATTTAAGTTGTCGCCTGCATTCTCCACCGCATACGATCAAAGCCATGGATACAGAAGCGTGTCAGGGTTAGGAAGTCCGGCTGACTCTGCGTAGGCTGATATTCTCATGAGGAACAAGGTCTGCTGGGAAGATTACGGGGAGCACGAGCTCCAGTGAGACATTTGACTGGGCTGTGGCAAGATATAATGAGTCCATTTTGACAAATAAAGGCCCTTTATTTAGCTAAAGCCTGCAGATAAAAAGCGTCAGGAGGACCCACCAGAGCCCAGGCCATCTGATTCTGCAGCTCCTCCAGCTTGGTCTGCATCTCATCCAGGGAAGCCAAGCTTTTGTACTTGTCCTCTTTCTCCAAATATTTGCGCTTCAGGTCTTCCAAGCACTGGCCAGAACAATTCATAGATTATTACATTATTACATCTAACCTACCGTTGTCAGCAAGTCCTGCAAAGCCTGAATCAAGGGCTTGAATATTTATAAAGTGATTATTTCAAAAAACAAAGCTAAAACATTAAATGCTTCAAATTAAATGTTTAATGAGTCATGTCACTAGCACTGAATTAAAAACCCACTTAGGCAATGTTGTTAAAAGTAAAGATATTCAAAAAAGAAAAATTAACTTGGCAGATACACCCAAGAGGCACCCAGTTAGACTGTACTACTGCAGTGCTACCTGCTGGAGAAGAAAAGGACTGCAGCTTTAAGACAGAGGGAGCCTCACCTCTTCATGCTTCTCGATGGTGTTCTGCGTCACCGTCTTCGTCTTCATGATGTATGCATAATCCTCCTTCATCTGCTCCAGCTGCGTAGCCTTCATGAAGAACTGAGGGAAGAAGGGGCAGTGGAAAAGCTAGAGGTTTACCATGTGTGGCCAATCTGGTCAAGACGTTAGGAGGACCTGCAGCCAGCACTGCAGTAAAAGGTACTGTAGGTGTTATAACATGCAGAGCCAGGAGAAGATGATGGTTTTATGTGTTCACCTTGTATTTATCTCCTTCACCTTTGGAGTGCAGGAAGTGCTTGCTCATTTCCTGGGTCAGTATCGATACTGGGTTGTCCACCTGTGCAAAACAAGTTATTCTTAACTGGTGATACTTTCCTTGCTCCTTTGAGCATGGCATGGGGGCACCTTGCAGCCTTTCAGTACACTCTTCTACCTGGATGTTGAAGTGGTCCAGGATGGAAACAAGCTCTTCCTTCTTTGTTGAAACGAGGTGACCTTTAATTTAAATAAAATAAAAAAAAAGGCATTTCCAGGTTGCTTTTATTGCTATGCTAATGAATAAGAACTTCAGCTATGTTGCTGCCATGCTAAGCACTACAGACCACTTGCACTCATCTTCCATAACTAGCCAGTACCAGGTCCCACTGAGCCTGGAGTCTATCCCAGGAAACATGGAGCATGTAGACGGTACAAACCTACACACACATACCATGAAACCCTATGGACAATTCAGAGACTCCAATCCCCTTCCATGGTTTTGGAAAGTGGCAGCTAGAGGAAACCCTGACAAAGAGTGTGATAGATTACCAGCTGTGCTCCTTAGCTTGTAGGTTCTCAGCCCTTCGCTGGAGATCCTGAGCTCTACGACGATGGACTCGCCAAACACCTCTGGCTTATACGCATCCTGGCCCCGGTTGCGTAACGTTATGGAGACATCTGCCGAGCTATTTAGGAAGACACACACCTGTTGGAGCATGGCCTAAGCATGTCACATTGGGAACACACTGATCAGATTCATGAGGTTGCACCTTGCCCCCACTGTGTCAGAGAGCAGCATCATGTGTCATGTGACAAATTTACACAACGGTGGCTCTGCCAGTTTTTCCGGGACTGAACACACAGAGTGAGCTACAATAAAAAGCAAAGCCAAGTGATCAAAGGGAAAATAAAATCATAGAGAGACAACAAAAAACAACATGCCAATTCACAAAAAACAACATAAACAAACATAAGTAACAGTGTAAAACACTAGCAGTAAAACTGCATGCTTTTCACTGCATTCATCCTCCAGTTGCTTGACATAGGGAGAACATGCAAACTCCAAACACGCAGAACAGATGCGGGATTTGAACCCACAACCAAGCAAAAGACACTGAATCTTCCGCCTTTTTGTCCATTACAGGGTAACATGCATACCTATCAACATTTAGGTTCAGAAAAATTGGGGGGGTTGGATAAGTAAATTACATTATTAACCAAATTTACACACACATACACACACACACACACACACACAATCAAATTCAGTTAGCATGCTGATTCACTGAATCAGGTTGTGGGTTTTCAGGTTGCCAGGGTGACATCAGACAAGCATATAAAACTTAGTGATCCATGTGTGTGTACCAATTATTTATAATGAAGTTTAAAGGCCATGCAAATAATGGGAGAAACAACAAAACAGGTGGGTGCCAGGAAACAGCCTTGAAATATGGGAGAAATCTGGGGAAAATAGTAGCAGAAGTAATATGAAGGGAAACAGGTAAGGCTGACCTTTCTCCCTCCTTCACAAAGCCCCTAAGAGAGGATCCTCTGTTTGTTGTGTGTGCTTTACCTCCCAGGCCAACAATCAGGGCAGTCAGTACAGCACTTTTACCACCTGCCGGGAGAGTAAAGCAGGTAAATACATCAAACCTGGGCCACCTGCACCAAAAGCACAACAGGCGGGTGGTTAAAGCTACTCACTCCCATTGTTTCCAACGACAAAGTTGACATTCGGTCCAAAAGCAAAAGGTCCCAGCAGGCCGTGGCACATAAAATTCTTCAAGAAAATACTTTCCACTATGCCCACTTCTGCAGATGTCTTAAAGAAATTAAAAGAGGCTAGCATGTCATTATTTGCTTAGACTGGTAAGATTTTCATGCACAGACACTGTATTAAGTACATCTAACTATATTTACACGTGTCTACATATGAGTATATTCCCACCCTCTGTGAAGTGTATGGGACTGGAGTGGGCTGACTTGGTCCAATAACATCTTTGTCATCTTCATCTTCCCCATTTTCCTCCCTTAGGCCAGACCTGGTTCTCTTAACATGGTTACTCGCGTTCGGTGAATTACTCTTTCTTTTAGACATACCTAGATGCTGAAAAACGGACGGAGTTAGTTTTACAAATATCACGTCTGCAGGCACCGCTCAAGGAAACATGACGGAAAAGGCAGGGAAACATGCTGATCAAAATCTCTCATCACAAACGGGAATTAAACATCAACAAACACACACATGCTGATGAATAATCAACCCTTCAGCTGTAGCATGCGTATATGGCTGAAGAATATCCGACTTGCAGGCCACTTAACAATAAGTGAATTAATCAAGTCAGGTCTTCGAAAGTGAAACTACATGAGATGTTTCGTTTTGCCCTAAACCGCTCTACAGCTCAGACGGGCGGGCATTCGCTTGGCATTAGCCGACACTTATAAACATTGTTCCTTTCCGTATATAAATAATAACTTTACACTATACAGTTCCTCTACACCTAGCAGTTTTTAATTCCACCTTTTATTTATCAAACGCGACATCTTTCTTCAATCTTCGATTTTTTTTCTTGCTTGACTTTCGCAACGTTATATACATCAATGAATGCACATATATTATGTATGCGTATATTAAAATATTTGTTATTAAATATAAATTCATATGACAAGTCGCTATTCCCTCGCCTTCCTATCCCATCAAGTTCCGGTTGTAAAGTTGTGACTAATCAGATAATTCATCAGGCTGATGATAACATAATTTACAAAGTGTATTATTTAACTATAACTTCAAATTAGCAGTACTTACTCTAAATTGACACAGAGCCGGATGCAAGTTAACTTCCCAGTTTCCTGCGAAAGATCTAATCGAGTCTTCTATGCGAAATCAAATATGCCTGTCCTATTTAAATAATGTAAATATATTAACCTAAAAGTAACATCACGCCACCGCTCCGAATTCATACAGAAATCCACAGCGCCGAAATCCAGCGGAAAGCGACGCTTCCGAAACCCTCGGTAGGTGGGACTGAACGCAACCTGTCAATCATCAAATTGTCTAAACCAATGAGAACCAGCGACATATCCAATGGGCAGCGCAGCTCTGAGATCGACAGCGCAGACTGGCCCAAGTCCCACCCGCCGCAGAGACTGGAAGCCGGGGGGACGCCGAATTCCGCGCACGGCGCGCTTCTTTGGCGGGTTCATGACGTCCGCCTGTAAAGTGAAACCTGAAACGTACTGCCACCCGTGGTACAGCCACATGGTTAAAGAAGAGCTAAATTCTTCGCCCCAGTCCAGGCTACCTCATAACTGTCCGGAAAATCAACCAATTCCTCAGTTCATTGCAGCCTTCAGATTATCTCAATAGTTCAGTTAGCCCAAACGTTGACAATTGATTTTATTAGAGCAAAGCTATACAACAAAAAATGAAATCCGGTATTTAATGTTTACATTCAAGAAACAATGATTTAAAATTCTCAATATATTACAACGTTCTCTGTAGAATACCGGAAGTTTATTCCAAAGAGGAGCCCACCCCCTAAACCGGAACCGGAAATAGCTGTGGCGCGAGTTTGAAAATTGTTTACAAAATATTAGTAAAACCGGAGTTTTCGAGGTAAATGTGTGTAATTTCGTCATCCTTTATGGTGCATTGAAAGGTGTTTAACAGTTTTAATGTGATTAAATAGTTTAGGAAATTTTTCTTAGTTAAATTCAAAATGTTTAGTAGTTTTGTAAAGTCAATGATTATTAAAATTGAAAATCCTTTTTCTAATTCAAAGCGACTTTTCATAGTAGTAACAAAGAGGGTCTCGTTTAGTCCGTGAAAGTGCATATTAATATTTAAACAGTCGTGCCAGTGGTTCATAGTTCCCTGGTTGTGAGTTATCTTTTATGTGACAAAGCTATCTCCCTGCAGTTATTCAGGCTTAACTAGTAATTTCTCGAATAAACCATAAAATGTAATTACACAAATTATTAATTGATTTGGGTTATAGTTTATTAAGGAGAAGGAATAAATGAACATTAAATGACTTTGTTTTTGTGTTCACTAGCGCTGTCGGAAATGACAAGTTCTGTGCGATGTTTTAGTTACGCTATAAGCAGGAAGAAACGCACCCATTGATAGTCTATGAGAAACTAAAAATGTGCTGAATATCCCGATACATAAACTGAAAATGGGTGTTGGTTGTTTTTCTCCTGCCCAAGCTGTGTGTGTCGAGTTTGCATGTATTCCAGGGTCCTTGACATTGATAATATAAACGGTGTGTGTGTGTGTGTTCCGCGATAGACTGCCTTCCTGTCCAGGGTGTCCCCTGCCTAGTGCCTTGTGTTGCTGGGCATATGCTCCAGACCCCCTCTGATCCTTTCTGGGAAAAATGGTTGGAGGATGAATTGATAAAATGAAAATCTGAATAACTAGTAATTTTCTAATGTATACCTTATTTATCATAATTTACTGGAAATGAGTTGGAGCGATTCTGTTTAGTAATATTAATTATAAGTATTAGTAATAAGCTAATACATATGTGATAGCGAGCAGCTTATATATGATGTTTGCAAATGAATTTTTTCTTTGCTCTGTGCTGATCCTTTGTTAATTAGCTAGCCCTGTTATCTGCCTTCACACATGATCACGGAGCTGTTGTTACTTTGGACTGCTCTTAAGGTTGACTGTGTCACAGCCACTGAAGCGATGGGAGTGAGCGACTTGTGGTCTATCCTGGAGCCAGTGCGGGAGTCTGTGCCCCTGTATAGCCTTGCTGGGAAGACCCTGGCAGTGGATCTGAGTCTATGGGTTTGTGAATCCCAGTCCGTAAAAGAGATGGCAGGGCGGGTAGCTAAACCCCATCTCCGGTGAGTCACGAGGCTCAATTGACCTTCATTCATGACCTACTCTAAGCTTATAAATTTGTATTTGACTGAATCAACTGAGCATTTACCAGTCAGTGAGACAGTCTGGAATCTGATGACACTGATGTTTCTGTGCTTATTGATTAACAGTAGGCCATCAGCCGATTCTTAACTCTGAACAGTCAGACTCATCCTGTATTGTGAAGCTATTCTAGTTAAGTTCACAATCATTCGTAAATTATATTTTAAGTATTTTGAGGAGGAAATACGTTCTTAAGATGAATATAAAAGATTGAAGCTGTCCTTGACTCTGGTTTTTCTTCCCTGTAGAAATTTATTCTTCAGAGTTTCAGCCCTCACACTAATGGGCATTAAGCTCATTTTTGTCTTGGAAGGAGAGGCCCCACAAATAAAGGCAGAGACCATGAGCAAGAGAACCGCCCTGAGGTTTGGACCTTCCCGAAAGCCGGCTCCCAAACCGGCGCAGACCGGCAGATCCCGCTTCAAGTTTGTCCTCAGAGAGGTCAGTCTTTTATGCACGTTGTCATGTTCGTGTTGTACAAATGAGCTCCCTTGCTGAAAGGCTAAACACGGCTTTGTCCTCACAGTGTGCTGAAATGCTGGACTGCTTGGGCATCCCCTGGGTCACAGCCAAAGGCGAGGCAGAGGCCATGTGTGCTTTCCTGGATTCGTCCGGCTCTGTCGACGGCTGCATCACTAACGACGGTGACGTTTTCTTGTATGGAGGACAGACGGTGTACAGGAACTTCAACATGAACACTAAGGTTCCTTCCTAGTTTTCTTTTTGCTTGCTGTGTAACATTAGCGATGGGAACATGAGTGGACTTAATCTGCTCTGATGATCGCTGCATAATTTAAACAAAATCTGAACAAAATTTAACACATAAAGTAACCAGATTTAAAGTTTTAATCAGGCACGTCATAATCCCAACCACTATGAGTTTATAAACCTTATTTCTGTTGTCAGCACTTGGTTGGTTTAAGTTCCATCCATAGGCAAGTCCCTTTAGTTTTTTTTTTTTAATGCTTCCTGCACGTTTGGAGCAAGGTATGTATATTTATTTCTATTTACATATTTGCAGCGATATTGATTATGCTGTTAAAAACCAGAAATCCATTTTGACAAACTAAAATTTGCCTGCCCCAGGCAAAATAGGTACATGACTACGGGCCCTTGAGTAAAGGCAAATCAGTACTTCACTTTACCACATTCACTTTCGGGCTGCGGATGATCGTGTGCACGGCGGCTTGTTTTCATACTACATTTGGCTGCGCATGCGGCTGGTTGCGGTCAGTGCATGCATACAGCCGGCAGTGATGATCCACCAGACCAAGAGAAGGCAGCTGTACTGCAACGAACAAGAATACAAGCAGTGTAGTGAAACTTTTATCAACAGTTATTACTCTAGACTTGGGTGGTACTACGACAATATGGCATTCCAAGGTATATTGAAATCTTTACGACAAAATTAACTGAGAGGTTTCCACCTGGTTCTCCAGTTTCCCCCCACAGTCCAAAAACATGCTGAGGTGAATTGGAGTTACCAAACTGTCCATAGGTGTGAATGGTGTGTGAGTGTGCCCTGCGATGGGTTCGTACCCCATACTGGGTTGTTCCCTGCCTTGCATCTGTGGTTTCTGGGATAGGCTCTGGACCCTCACAACCCTGAATAGGGCAAGTTGTTACACGAAATGGATGGATGGGTGACATGCTGAAGTAACCTATTTAATGCTTTTGATTCTAATTAATAAAACTCTGCCTTTGTCCCCACTGCCATCCCAGATGACAAAAAAACGTTGTGCTTTTTACAGCATCATATTAATTATGTTGCCTAATTGTACCACAAACCTTTCACTGTTCTCACTGCTTTCAGGACCCACAAGTTGACTGTTATAAGATGGAGAGAGTAAGGACTGAGCTCCACCTGGAGCGAGAGACTCTTGTGGGTCTAGCTATACTACTGGGCTGTGACTACGTTCCTAAGGTAACATTTCCTCTAAGAGGAAGAATATTATTACAGTTAAATGCTAACATCAGAATCAGAAAAAAACTTTATTGATCCTGGAGGGAAATTGCGTCTCCTACAATTGGACAGGTTGACAGAGACACCACTGGACATAATGAACCCTATATAACAAAATGAAAAAGTAATATATCACAAATAAAAATTACATAAAATTTGAAAGATAGAATAGATGTCAAATAAACTACAATATAAACTCTTTAGGAGAAAAAAAATACATAATCTGATTTATAACTAGTTTGCAATGTGACTAGTTCATTGTGAAAGATAAATTAGCTAAAATGCTGTACAGCGAAACGATATGAATATTTCATGTATTACATATGATTCTGGAAAGTCTAAAAGTAATAATTTTCACTAGGGAATAGCAGGGGTTGGAAAAGAACTGACTTTGAAGCTCATTCAGACTTTGAGCGGACAGACACTCCTACAGAAGTAAGAACGCCTTGCTTGTGTTGGTAAACTTGACCTTATTTTAACAATGAACCATTCCTTGCTTTGTCGTAAATGTAAACATCTAAATGAAGGTTCCCACCCAGCGTTTCCTGTGCAGTAATAGGTGTTTGCTTTGCTGCCACAGATTCCGACAGTGGAGTGATGACGACCAGGAAATGCCAGAGAGACGTGTGAAGAAGGTCACCCACTGCCCCATGTGCCGTCACCCAGGTGACATCACCCCCGGCTCACACCTGTCCCCAGTGCCACATCACATAACTCTCTTACACTTCAGCAAATACTCATTTTATTATACAGCGTGTAATATGTACATATACACACACTGCATCATAAAATGCATCATCTTATACAACCAGTGTTCCCAGGTACTGCAGTGATGGATGCTTTTATTAAAACACATCCTAGCAGTCATACGTATAAATATGTAGGGTGGTGTGTGGCTCTGTGGTTTAGGTCTCTGGACCTGTTAGAAGGTCTCGGGTTCAAATACTGTGACTGGAAGAATGATTTCACCGTTGTGGCCTTGAGCAACACCCTTCATACCAGTCGCTCCAGGGAATGACGCTGATATCTGGTTTGGCAGCCATTGTGATTTCAGCGTTTCTGATTCTGACTGCTTGACTCTGCTCTCTCACTTGTGTGTCACTTTGCATAAAAATATTTGATAAGATAAGCTTTGTTGATCCAAGAGGGAAATTCTGGAATATTTGAGTAACATTTAGGGGGCACCAGGATTTGAACCTGGGACCTCTTGATCTGCAGTCAAATGCTCTACCACTGAGCTATACCCCCTTACGCCTTATCTAGTTAAATAAATAAACCATACAAGTGAGTGTTTTTAATTTGAAGGTATTTGTGCCTGCTTCCGAAGGCCCAGCTTGTCAGGGGGACATTATTATAAAGCATGGCATGTTGGTTTAGTGCCAAGACTGGCAGAGTTACAAATAAGAATCTGAATGAGAAGGAGTCTGACATCCTATCGAAGGTAGTACTGTCCTGAATACAGACTTAAAAAACATGACTAGTTTTTATTCACCACAATTCTGCACGATAATGATCTCTTGTATGCGGTGGAGTGTACATACATGGCCATTAACCAGCGAAGTGACGTCGTGTTTACGTCTGTGTCCACTTCTCCCCCCCATTAGGGACAGCGAAGGCTCACCAGCAGCGCGGCTGTGGGCTCTGTGGAAGCACACGGTTCTGCGAGCCCCAGGACTACGACTACCTGTGTCCGTGTGACTGGCATCGTGCCGAGCTGACATGGCAGAGTGGTACCGTCGAGTCCATCGTTAAACGGTGCGCCTCCTGCTGGTCAGCTTCTTAATTACTCAGCCTCGAATGTATGGACAAAGGAGAGATTCAGAGCTTTTATCATTATTTTATTTATTTATTTAACTTTAGCTGACCAAATTAAATCACCCATAAAAATTGATTTATCTATTTATTTTTATATTCAAATACAAATAATAGTCATTTTAAAACCTTTTTTTTTTTCACAGGAAGGCTTTGGCATGCAAGGGATTCCCTTTTACAGAGGTAATACTGGACATTCAGTAAACTAAAATGAAACGTGATTTTCTTAAGATAACAGTATTTCTTTTTTCCCCAGGTAATACATGAGTTTCTAGTGCCTAAGGACAGACACACTGAGAATATTACAAGAAGAAAACCTAACCTGTTGCTAATGCAGGTATTGTAAGACTATGTATTCCATTCTTGCAGTTCCTAAGTTAAATATTTTTGGTTAATATAAAGAACATTTATATGATGCTGTATATGAGCCTTTTGATTAATGTTGATTTATAATAAAATGATATACCATAAATATTTAAATACAGTAACCTGTCTACTCCTGGCTAGCAATCTGCTACGTGCACAGAAAACACGACGGGAAAAAGAAAGTTATTTTCTCTCAGTGAAAAATAAAGACTGATCAAAGCTTGCCAACAATGAGCCAAGGAGATGCAGCAGCGAAACCACAATAAGCTATCTTTTATATACAGTCCTGTACTGTATTATAGCGTATTTGAGTTATACAGTTTAGTTTAAGTTGTACAGTACTGTAATTTGAAAATCATTTTAAACAGCTGTTCTGTATTCGATGAAATTTGGTAAATAGCGACGCTGTAGGTTTTATTACCTACAGTTTTATATTCATGTAATAAATATACAAATGTCAGTTAGATGGTTACCTGCCTGAGACATAAACAAACAAAACTGTTATAATGAACATCTGCTTATAGTGATCAATTTCACCCAGACAGACATGGTCACTATATGCAGTTTCTGCTGTATGCTGCCTTAGGACATTACATTTCATCTGTCATGTAATGATTTTTTTTTTGTCTTAGAACTTTGCCCTGGAAAAATTGGAGTGGCCAAAGCACTACACCAGTGAGAAAGTGCTGGTGTTGATGACCTACACAGAAATGATGAACATCAAGTGTGGCAGGAGGACTTCCTCCCCGATAGAGCCCCTGCGGTAAGGGGGGGGTCACCAAAGGCAGCTTTACATGCTGCATGTTTACGGCTCTGCCTGTTTGTCATTTGTTTTTTTGTTTGTTTGTTTAATGAAACAGGATATGCAAGACACGGGTGAGAAATGGAATTGCCAGCTTTGAAATAATATGGAAGAAACCCGGTAGGAACTATTTATCAGTCACCATTTTGTTTTGTGTTGTTGACATTTACGCACATTTTTAATTGAAAATTTCTGGTGGAAGGATTTCATCCCACGTGTTTGTCCATGTGGTCATTATTGAAAATTGCTATAAGGATTGTAATGACAGTGCAATAAAATAAAATGACTGTTTATTTGGTAACAGTTGCTAATTAAGCATTTCATGTCAAAAGTAATTGTTTGCTTAGCTGAACTGTTGTATTCTCAACCTGAATACGTATTAAAATGATCATGTTTTCCTGAGGAACATGACGTTCACCTTGAGCCACGGGTGTGAATAAGAGCAGCAGTCGTTTGTAGAGGAGTCGAACCATAATAAGTAGGCGTGCTGTATTCGTGGCGCTGTCGGCGCAGGCCTCTGATGGGTGCTGCCCACCGCGGCTGCTGACGGAAACCCTGTGGTCTCCTGTTGTCTCCCTGTGAGGTCGGGTGAACGAGGCCCAGAGGTGACAGATCACACACAGGGCAGTGAAGGTGCCAAGTCTGCTTCCTCTCTCGGCCGGGAAACTAGCTGTCTAAGTCCCCCAGCGCCCATGGCAGTCCTGCGGCCCAGTTTCCACGCCAGCTCGCTCAGACCGGCCAACTTTCCTAAACATTTTCTAAATGTTAAATTTATGCAAATTCTGTGTAATGCTTTCCACGACTGCTGGTGACTGCATTTAGAAGAAGAAGAGACCTTTATTGTTGCTGTACAAATACAATGAAATATCGTTTAAAGCAGGGGTCTCAAACTCAAATTACCTGGGGGCCACTGGCTAAGTGGTGTTCCCTCAAGGGGGGGGGCACGTGAGAAATCACACCCAAAAAAATGTGTCCCATCATTTTTAACTTGAAACTATTAGACGGATCGGGTTTGGGTCATATGTGACCAATCTATGTTCGATACTTATTTCGTTTTCGGCAGTATGTAAAACGATAGCTCCTATTTCTTGTTAAATTGATTTGGACAATCAATCGCACGACAGCTTTCCCATTTTAGATGTTTTTTTTGCAGCATTCATGCTGAACACTAACGTTACCACTCAGCTTTTTGCTACTCAGTGGGTGTGAGCGCAGTGACTTCCGCCTGCTGTGACGTCATGCGCATACCCTTCGCAGTACGAGGAGCCTAAGAACAGCAGATAAGAGGGTGACAGTCTGGAAGTATTTTATGCATTTGACAACAATATATATATATATATATATATATATATATATATATATATATATATATATATATATATATAATTTTAATATTAAAATAAGAAGAGCTCTTGTATCAGAATCTGTATCATTCTCGGCAGGTGTATATTGAACATGGATCAAAACTGAAAAAATGTCCCTTAGATTATTGCTTGCTACCAGAAACCTGACAGTGCTCAGTAAGATGAGTAACGTTTACATTAAGGGGGTTGGCAGTGGATGCTCTAAGAATAGCCTGGACACGACCATCGGACAGCCTGGGTCTGCTTTCTGATTTATTTGGTCTGTGCTTCCAAAGAGACACGTTACCCACTTGAACTCTTTGGACAATGCTAGTAAGGAATACGGTCACTATTGCAATCGTGTCCGCATTCCTATTTCCTATCTCCAAACTTTGCTTTGCGTTCTGTGCTGCATCGTACGCCTGTATGTTCCATCTGAAGTGTGCTTATCGGTATTACTGTGGTACGGTTAAAATGTTCTGAAAATGGTACACTGATAAGCAAACTGCCATCATTTCAACAAGTTCTGTATTGAAGACCACAAATATAATTAGCAGCACTTTTTGTTGGCATAAACTTCAAAATAACAACATAGGCAATATGTATGTAAACGTATGAAAACCATATCATATCGTAAGAATTCAAAGTTAGGCCAGGAAACTGTTACGAGAATATATAAATACAAACGTACATGGAATTCATTCTTAGCAAATGGGTATTCTGCTAGCTCTGAAGATGCTGGAGAACTTCTTCGAAGCACGGTACTGAGCCACATTTTCAGTCATTTACTTTGAAACCAGTAACCATTTTGTTCTGGTTGTGGCCTGCAGGCCGGTAGTTTGAGACCTCTGATCTAGAGCAAGCCTGTATACAGCAAGTTCAAAATATGAAAGAGTAGAACTTCTCCTTTTTTGCACTGTGTGTTGTTGTGGCACTTCGTCTGTCTTCTTCTATATGTACTTTCATCTGTGCTTTGCATATCCTGCTGATGCACACATGGGATTTTCCCCAGGGATAAGCAAGTTTATTTAATCACATCTATCCTCACAGAGCACTTCCTCCACCCCGGAGACTGCCCAGACGAACTCAGGGATGTGGTGACAACAATCGAGGAGGAGTCCCTGTTCCGGTCTGCATATCCTGGCATCGTAGAGCGATTCTTGAACGAGAAGGAGGAAGCGGAGCAGAACAAACAAAAACGTGAGTTTTGGACACAAGCCCCTTTAGGGAATGAGGGAAGGGAAAAAAAAAAGATACGTGAGAGCAACACATTTTTTGCAAGCCCCGTTAAAGCTTGAAAGGCGATACTGATCAAAGGCTCTAAAGTTTGCGACAATCTGTTGGATTTAGTACCCTGACACCTGAAAATGCTGACTTGAAAGACTTTGATTAACAAGAGTTAACACGCTGGGCACACCTGTCGCTTCCGGCACATCTGATTATCCCCCTGACTTTCAGTTCCTCTGCTAGGATGACATGTTAAATTATTAAATGCCAGATGTACCGTGAGTGTGTGGGTGGAGAGGGGGGGGGGGGTTTACCAGTGGGCATTCTCAGCAATCGCCTGAATTCTATGCTTCTGCGTCTTCTAGAAAAGAAACGTCGAAATGGGAAGAGAGATGGCACACGTGAAGGGTCGGATGATGTCTCGGAGATGTTTGCCCTGATGAATCTGCATGGCTGTTCAGAAGGGAAGGTCGACTCTGCCACCGGGAAGCAGAGTACATCCCCATCTAGTAACGGATCCTCTGACCATTCACGTTCCACCGAACAAGGACAGGCGCCCCCTGCAGGCTGCTCTGGCCTCGGTCCTCCACCGAGAGCCCCAGCCAATGAGGATTCACCGTCCAAGCCTCCCTCATTCCCCGGGACTGCACCCACCACAGTGTCGTCATCTCCATCTGAGTCGACGATCATCGGCGAGCTGCACTTGAGCGAGATTGACTGGGATGCCTGCTCTTTCAGCTCCTCTCCGCAGACTCAGAGCGGTCAGCGTGGGGAGACTCTCCCTGCAAGCCCCAGCCTGGAGGAACACTCCATAGGAGTCTTGGGGCACTGCAGGGCGCCTGGAGGGGAACCTGTAAATCCATCTGGTGTAAGACACCCAAATCGACCCTCTGCAGTCAGTTGTTCAGAGGATTCTCTGAGATGCAGAGTTTTAGTGAAAAATGCCACAGGGCACCAAAAAGTGACTGCTGACGTGATAACACGAACACACCAGACCCAAGGCTTACGGTCCATTCCGAGCAGCGGTAGCAGTTCCACTCCATCACAGCCGCTCGCTAAAGTAAACCATACTGCCAAGCTTCTGCAGAGAGCCCAGACACTTCCCACGCCTCCTGGTGGCAGTGACGACGCGAGGAAGGGCACAGAGAGTTCCCTTTGTGGCCCAGAAGGCACGCACATAACGACGCAGAAATCTGAAGACCCGCGTCTGTGGATCCGACCGTCCCCGAAATACAGATTTGTAAGAACGAAAGATAATGCTGGAGCAGGGCATCATGGGAATAGTAGGGGAAAGAAGACTCGGGCTGTGAAAAAAAGCGTGTGCGACGGCTTGTGTTCGTCAAGCGACGACAGCAATGCGGAGAATGTTCCGGTGGTCAGAAAGACGACGACTGTGAAGGGGAAGCCTGGGCTCAGATACCCACATGGTGCAGATCACCAACAGAGGACAGGGGACAGAGTCACACCTCATGTCACCATGAAGGGAACCTCTGACTGGGATAGGGGGGGCTGTGGGCCTGCTGAGGATGGGAACACCATGGTACCTTCTGATCTCAGAGATGTTACTCAGAGCCCATCCTGTCAAACAGGTCCCAGTGAGGGAGATGACTCAGTCATTTCTTTGGACAGCCCGCTGCCTTTAGCAGAGAGGCTAAAACTCAGATTCATTTAGGACACCTAATCTGAAAGAATGTTTAGCTGTTTTTATAGCCTGTATTTAATCGTGTTCTTTATCTGTGACCCATTTAACGAGTGATACCTTTTACTTTGCATTTACAAATGTCCTCATTAAAATTACGTATGCATTTTCCAAATTAGATTAGAGAAATTAATTAGGTTAGTCTCACTTTTAAAAGTATAAAATTTCTGTAAAAATTTTGCAAAGAAAAGAATAATGATTATTATAACGGTTTCATATAAAACTTAAGTGTACAAGAGGCATTGGAGGTGTATTTTCGTTTTGACTATAATGTGACAAGTCACAGAATGCCCTGATCGCTACGAAACGCGCTGCTTCCCATGTCGTGGGAAGGTGTGAATGTATTTCGCCGTCACTTTCGCCAGCTTGGAAGACGCTCAGGTCGGAATCTATTGATCATGGGAGCTGTAACGAACACCTTTGTCAGACATGAAAGATTCCACTTTTTCACTTTCAATAAACCCTGTAAATAAGGTGTGTAATGAATGCGGGGCGCTTGTCAAATGTTTGAATTGATCGACACAAAATAAAACTATCGTGGTCTGACCGAATGATACACTACTGCGGTTTGAACAATTATGAAATGGTAACAAGGAGGAAAAAAAATAAATAGATAAAAATGGGTCTTTAGTAGTTACGATTGCTATTTGTCTTCCTAAGTTAACTAATAACAAACGTAAATCTTTATTGCCGTCCATTCTGTGATCTCTGTGCTAAGTTGTTTTGAGTTTATTATGTTTGTCATGATGTATCTTATTTGGTGTTAGTTGCTTTGTATATATTTTATTTTGTCTATGTTTGTTTTATTTTTAATAAACAGACACAACGAATCAGTCCCCAAGACGCTGTCTCGACTCGCCGTGAAAAAATAGGTGTAACAGACTCCTTTCATTTCTTCATTAGTCTGATCGCATCAAACCGATAACTGCGGTCGCGCTAATTTAAATAGCCATTTTCACAAAAGTAAATCTAATTGTTTTTCTTTCTGACGCACGTTAGCCGCCTATTTGGGCTTATTAGCGTCTGCTCGCCAAACTCACGCCGCGGATTCGCACCTGCGTTTGCTTTGAACTTCCGCGGGAGCCGCGAATCCATAAAGCGCCTGAGCGCCGCACCTGTTATAAAAACGAGCGAAGCTCCCTCGGACGGCTTCAGGCTTTTTCCACGCTATCAGGACGCCACGTCGGTATGGAGAACGTGTCCGAGGACATCGCCTACTTGGACACTGAAATCGAATTAGTAACTTCCACAATCCTTTCCAGCTGGGACTGGAGGAGCCCGGACAAGTCTTTCGGTACTGATGCAGACTCGCCCCTCTGCGCGTCTTCCGATACCTCTTTCGACTCCACGTGTTCCTCCCCGGAGATGCCACCAAGCTCCAGCGACCGGAGGAGCCTAGATTTCCCCTATCCTCAGAGGAATAGCGGCGGCTACCAGGAGAAGCCCTCTAAGCCGAAAATGTCCATTAAGCGCCGCATGAAGGCGAGCGAGCGGGAGAAGATGCGGATGCGAAGCCTGGCTGACGCGCTGCATCAGCTGCGCGACTACTTACCCCCGGACTACAGTCAGAGGGGACAGCCCCTCACCAAAATCCAGACTCTGAAATACACAATTCAGTACATCAATGAACTTTCCGACCTCCTGAAAGCTTCGTAAACAGTCCGTACCTTTTTTGAAAGACTGATATTTCACCGACGTTGGTGTGGATTTGGTGTGCAATGCTTCTATTTGTTAAAATTTCATTTTAATATCCATTTAATGTTTTACAACGAGTGCCGAAAATAGTTTTCATTGATTTTGTCATGTGTTGTGTATATAGTACTATGCTCTTGGCACTTGCATGTCGATTGAAGTTTTTTTTCAAGCGTGATTAACCTATATTTTTACTACTAGCCTCAATAAAAATACCGTGGTGTGCTAATGGTCATTGTATAGTTTTATTTAATGTGCTGACCTGTGTTTGAAGAAGAGGCTAAAATTTTATTTCTGACAAGTATAACTGTATGTTTGCCCCCTCCCTGACTTACTTTGACTTACCTGGCTAATTCATAATAAATGTGCATTCTAAGACGTGTTCTCCACTTTTAAGTATAAGGTTAACGGTACCGAGTTTATAATGGGATTGTTTTGACAGGCAGCATAAGAAAAACACCACATAATACTGAGAAATACAGTGTAAGAAGTGACGTGGATGCATGCTTCATAAAGTTTAAAGGTGCATCAGGGTCAGACCTAGAATTTCTGTGCTGCCTTACAAAATGTCACTTTTGACCTCCCTGACAAATTGTATATATTCAAAGCCCCCTGTAAAGTGTGGGGCCCCTTGAATCTGTCAGAGTACCCATGCCCCTCTAAACACATTTCGGTCCCTTGGATGTACCTCCAGGCACCGCCCCCCCCCCCCCAATAAAAGAGATGTTGGAAAATGGAAACCGATTATTCAAAGAGTTTGTTTAATGTCCTTCAAGTTGGTTGATGATTGTTGGGGATGTGGAAACCAGAGGCACCAATTGCAGTCCGCAAATGGGTGGTGATTTAATAAAATTTTAATAAACATGTACAAACTTCTTGATCTGAATTATAAAACCATTTCAGGTAAATATTGTATTTTTTGTTCCTTAATGTGGGAAATAGACAGGATAATCGGCTGAAAGATGGACGGACGGATGGATGGATGGATTCATTCATTGTTTTTTCAGTTCCCTCTTTGGGTACTGCAATGTAAGGCTTTATCATTTCCTTTCCTAATGCTGGTGCGAGAGGTGCCGCTTCTCCGCGCCCGGTACCGGATTTCTCCGACACTCACTTCGTACCTTGGAGCCGGAACCGCCTGCGTTTCTTGTGGGCGGGCCTTGCCGCCCGATACATCGTGTCCCGGTCTCAGAAATCCGGGACCTGCTGGCTTCACGCAAGCCGCCATTTCGGGGCAGCCGGCGACGGCTGCTCGTCGCTGCCTTTTACAGTCGCCTCTCGTATCGATTCGTTTTTAATGTAATACTGAGCAGCCTAATTCAATTTCACGTAGCCTATTTGTTCTCAGTCCTGTTACAGGGATTTTCCTTGCGGTGAGGTAAGTTACATCTTCTATCAGTGACACATACATGTGAATCGTGGTATTAGATTTAGCCCATAATCGCTTTGCCTGTTTTCATTTCTTATAACTGCATAGAACGAGAGTAAAAAATAATACTCGATCTGTCGTGTAATTAATATATTTAATGATACGTGGTTTGCATTACCGTGGACATGAAATTTTGTAACTTCTGCTGCTGTTTCTAACTGCTAGTGCGAAATTTACTTTTCTCTGATTTGTCTGTTTTCACAGCCTGAATTGATTATCATAAAACTATTTTTTTAGAACGAGGCTATATACAGATAATCGGAATAGCAGCTATTGATGCGCGACGTTGAGAAATTACTAAAAAAAATATCTAAACAGGCTATTCTACTGAATCCTTTCTATTTCTTTTGCTCGATACATTTATTTTGGTTATAAATGTGATTGTGATGAATCAGTTATTGACAATGTTTATTGTAGTGCACCAGACTAGTAAGCACGCAGTTTGTCTCCGGGGAATGTTACTCTCCGCCTTATACTGTTATATATTATTCAAATGCAAAACAGAAGGGAAGGTTCTGTAGTATATTCACTATTTAAAAAAAAAAATAGAAATGTAAGAAAACAATATTATGAAAATGAGGCTTTTCACCTAAGACATGGCAATTAGCCTTGGCGAATCCTTGTTCTTGTAAAGTAGCCTGACGCTGAGAAGGTGCTTTCCCGCGGGTGATGGTGCTGAAATGGATTAGAGCAGCGGTGACACATTTCTTAAGCTCTTTTTATTGCAGGAATTGCGATCGGCCTTTAAAAAAACCTATATTGGTGCATTTTTAACGTGTACAGAAGGCTGGAAGCTCTTGGAAGTGCGGTCAGTTGCACCCAGATACGTATATCCAGTCTCACAAGCGCTGTCATTGCACAGTCCCGGCTTAATGCACATAAAGAGTACATAACTGCAAAGTTCTAACGCATTTTCAAACAGTTACGTTTAAGTCTTCCCTGGTTTGAAGTTTAAAGCAGTGTTTAATCGCCAGTGGCAGGAAGTCGTACGCTGTGTTTATCTGGTACCTGGAAACCTCTCAAGCATAATTAATAAATGAATATATTTATAAAGCGACGACATTTGTTCTTTTCATGCCTGATTACCCTCAACTAATTGTCATCTATTTGAAAACAGGTTACATTTCCAAGGCAATGGACCCAACTGACTGTAGTATTTCCAATGATGCATGACAGTTCATGCAGAGCTGTGTTTGCTGTTGACGTGGCTTGCACGAGACATATCTTGAGAAAGTGTCCGGAAACAGTGCTTTATGTAATGCTCACCCAGGTGTCCGTCAACGTCTCCCCAGATGGAAGGTGACGCAGAGCAGGCTGTGGAGTCCACAGATCCCGATCCACCGTCCACGCAGGGGAGCGTATTGGCGAGTAAAGACAGGTGCGCCTCGTCACTGTGTTCATTAAAGCAAGCCGCTTAATCAGTTCCCGTAACGAAGGCATCTTGCCCTCTGCCTAGGGGAGGGAGGATTAAGGGGCATGGTCGAGAAGGGCGGATAGGCAGAGGCGGCCGTGGTGGTCGGGGCATAACGATGAAAAGATACGCCCCCTCCTGGCGAGACAGAGGAAGGGACAACGCTATGAATGGCTTTGGACCTGAAAGGTACAGCTGGTGTTAAGTGCACATCTTTAAAAGTTTCATTATATTTAGAATGCAAAATGAAGGCGGGCAAGGAATTGTGCATAGCAGTCAGTCAAGCAAAGACGTAGGCTAGTTTGATGGCTTTCTGTTACAGGCGAGGGTTAGGAAGGATGCGGCCTTACCCAGAGCTCCGGGGTCGCCGGGCAAGGGGTGTCATGGGGATGTGTCCTCATCCCCCTCCCCCGCTCCCTCTTCCCGCCCCACCGATGCACATGAGAGGGCTCCACCCACCCATGAACAGGTAAAAAGCCCCGACCCTGCTTGACATGCCTGCTATACCTGCATCCATTATTAGAGGAACATTCTTCTGCAACATTGCATCAATTTTTTTTAACTTTTAGTGATGTTTGTGTAGTAATGGACACTGTCGGCCCATTTGCCCCCCCTCCAGGCCAGGGGGCCCTCTACCTCCTCCACGATATCCTATCTGTCGGGGATACCCCCCTCATTTCCGTGGTCGGGGGTTTCCCCCAGGTCCACCTCGACATTTTTGCCCCAGAGGGTAAGGCTGCTCTCCCACACATTTCCCATACATGCAGTACTCTTAGCCAAGCAGAATTCCAACTCATTTCCTTTTTCCTTCTTCCTGTTCTGTCAATTAACTCCAGTAACACTAAGGTTAACCAGTAGGGGGCATCCATGTGGTAAAGTACATTGCGTTTAAAGCAAATGTGGTAAAGGACACTTTTTTTGCCTTTTGTTTTATGTTGCGACCAGAGTTAAATGACTGCATGAGTCTGCGAGAACAATAAAAATCAATTAAATCAAGTCACAATTCATCAGAGTTATTAGAAATCACACCAGTGGGTAATGGAAGCTTAGATGAACCACGTGGCTCAGCAGAAGAATCAAATGTGTGATTTTATCCTTTTACGCAGCTTCCACAATGGACCAGCTTCTCCGCCTCACTCTCCTCTTGGCAGAGGCCAGCGCTGGCCGGGGCCCCCTGGTGGCCGGCGCTATTAAAACCGCCTTAATGCTATACACATAGCCAAGGGCCCACAATTCCATCTAACCAGAAAACCCTATTGAAATACCTAATGTTCTCTGAAATGCCTTCCAGATAAACAGTCGGAATATAACACAGAACAGTGGCCCCACATACAAGAGTGGACATATTGGCCTGTTTGAGTCTGAACTTGGACCATCTTGACAATAACAATTAAAATAATGTTTAGTTTCCTCTAAAAACAGGGATTGAAAATGTCTGTCCTCAAAGCGGTGTCTCACCAGCATTCTGTGCACAGTGTTTTGTTATCAGCACCAAACGTTTACCGGAGCAGAAGATGAGTGCGGGAACATAGAGAGGCAAAATCAGAGAGTGACAAAACAACAGCCCTCAGATGTTAGGCTTAGGTTCCTCTTCTTTGTCCTTGGACCTCCACAGTTTTTCCTTTAATATAAAAAAGTAATTTAAAATGATAACCATAGCACAAACAAAACAGCATCATAAGCTGTGAAGAATTTTACATGCTGAAAAGATAAACCAGAAAACATGTACATTAAATGTTTATGATTTTTCAGAGTAACAGGAGTTTTAATGTCTTTAATGTGCAGCTATATTAAGGTAATACATGTCTAGTGAAATTTGTGTACTACATTTTATTGTTAAATGGACTTTTAAAATGAAAATTAATGCATACTATACTGAAAACATATAATGAATTATACACATATTTGCATTTATATTCAAAGGCAAATTTCTGAAGAAGGAACTATTTCAATTCAGTATGAAATCCTATATATTGTGTGTTACAATATCTTTACATACTGTAATTAATATAAATCATGTGGTTTTGTGAATGTGCATTTCGAAGACAAAGTTCAATTTTCACATAGATATAAAGGAGAAAAATAAAACTAAAAATAAACTGTGAGCTGTTCCGTTATTGTTTTTTTAAATTAAATATGCCAGTGTGTTTCCATTAGCCGGCCTTAACGTGTCAGTGTGGAAGGTAGCAGTAATAATTGCGAGGTGATGGATTCCTGCACTCAGATCTGCGTGTCTCCAAACGGACACCTACTGTATGTTTTCACAGCGCCATTCATAAAATGGCTGAAATTTCAAAGTCTGTAAACCAAATATCTAACCGCACTTTATCATTAAAATAATCAGTATGATGCCGTTGTGCTACTCGCTGTTGACAGTGTTCCACAGTAGTGTCACTGATGAAAACTTTATGGTGCAGGGCAGCGTCTGTCGCTACAAATTAGACATTGAAGTTGGAGGACCAAGAACCATGTATGAAAATTAACTTGCAGTCTGGTCAAGTTTGAAAATTATTGTCTTTATATGAAAAATTAATGCTGAGGGCTGAAATCTAATAACTTTTGTGCAAATTTATTAAGGAGACCTTTTTGTCCTTTGCAAAAAAGTATATATTATATTATATTATATTATATTATATATGTTTAATGTCCCTGTTGATACCCATAAGCATTATGGTACAAATAGGGCATTTGATATCTTATAAAGGTATTACTGTGCTTGATAAAGATGACAGAAGTAATCTGGGAGGCTCAGTATAATTACAATTTTAATCCCTTTTAATCTTTGGTTTCTGATTTTTTTAATTGTATCTGTTAACAACAAGCCAGCTGGCTCACATACTCCAAAGTTACACTGCATCTAGTGGTGTCTTTTTTTACTAATGTTACTTAAAAAATGGGGTGTGAGTAATCAAATGAATGGTATGATGATGCATGTAAGTATGCAATGCCTTGGATTAGCTGCATTGGTTCCAGGTGTGGTGAATTGCTTTCACATACATTTTATGAGTGGTTCATAAGAAATATTATGGGAGGAACATTAAAGTAGAAAACATTGACATGAGTCGGTTATTTGCTGTCTTCTGTGGCCATTGGAGCAGATTGCATTGTCTTAATGTAAATGTTAATTTACATTTGCATTTTACTTTTCAGACAACTTACTTTGGAATGTGAAAAAAATGTGAAATATTTCCATCCATCCATTTTCTACATCCTCTAGTCCAATGCTGGATCACAGGGGTCTGCAGCCTTAAAATATTTTTTCAGAGAACTTGTTTTATTATGCAGCCTGTAGAGACCTGTATATTTGTATTAGTAAATATTTATGAAATTAATGTTAAGGTATAAAATTACTCTAAAGGTCTGATGGATGTGTAAGAAAATAAGATGTGAAAGTTTTATTAAAAAGCACACTGGAAATGTGCAGTGACATGCAAATAACTATACATGCTCATCTCATAAATAGTTTTAATTAAATATTTGATAAAATCGAACCCAGGGATGGAGGGTTTGGTTGATATTAGTTTAGGAGTTGAGAAGAAACAGCAGATTAATTTTATCTGGGCTGTAATAGAAATGTCTGACTCCAAACGGCCCTCAAGACTGAAGTTTGAAGAACCCCTCTCTTCACCCCCTTTTTTATTAATTATTATTATTACTACTATTTTGCTTCTCGCTTAGTAAATGCATTCTGACTGCCAGCCAGGTGTGAAACTGAAGTCCCCCTCCCAAGGTGAAAGTTGACTGTTATTGTCTCCTGAAGGGTGACATAGAAATCCCTTCGAAGTCAGCAGTTGACGGCCGCACATCTCCACCCCTCCCCCTCCCTCGAAGCCTGCAGCAGCCCTCCCCCCCCCCCCCCGGGCAAGGTGAGTTCTCTTTTCACCCAGCTATCCAGCTGACTTCAGAATTCGCAGGCATGGGACCGAGCAGGAAGGGAGTGCTGTTGGTGTTGATCCTAACAAACAGGATTTTATAGCATGTGGACCCACATACAAAAGCCCAGACATTTTCAGAGGCATGTGGATAAAAAACCCTTTTGCCTGGAAAGTGAATAAAGCTGTCATATACCTCTTATTTAGTTGCCACTCTACTCCTGATTTTTCGGCTATGTACCCACTCAGAAAGTCACTGTGGCACCTCCTGTCACACTCAGATGTTTAAAAAACTAAATAAATGTCTAACCTAGTAAGTATAGTCAAAATCGTGGCTTGCTAGCTGGTTAGCAATTTGTGTTTATTTTATATTTATTGTGGTGACTGTGGCGACACAAATCCACGGTTTGAGTGCTGGTAAGCACTGTATGTATCTTGCTCAAGCTCACTATAACCAGGGCCCTCCAGGTAACTCGGGCACTGAATGGGTTTATAACTACTATGCTACCCTGGTGTGCAAATGCCCCGATGATTTTAGCTCACCACTTGGCTTCTTTGTCTGTGTGAGTCAGGGTTACTATTAACAAAAGCTGAAAGAAAACATTTATGGAACTGCAAACTGAAGTAAGACACAAAAACAGAACTAAAAATTACATCTAAAAGAAACTACAAAAATCTTTTTGAAACAGATAAAATAAAAAAAAACATCTAATACTTTCCATTACTGCTTTTTAAATAATACGTAGCTAAAATAACGATTTATTTATACATAATGACCATTAATAATACAGGGAACATGTTTTGCCCATTATGAGAAAATTAATTCATACTGTGCACTGTAAATTCATGTAGGTTTTCTACAAATCAAGCACAAAAAATAGCCGTATAGCTTTGTCTGCCCCCAGAAATAAAATAAGAAATCCATCTATTAAATAAAAACTATTAAAACCATACAGAAAATGAACTAAATGAAACTGGATTTCAAATGAAAATTGGAAATAACACAAAAACCTAAATGATAAAAAAAGAAAACTACAGCAACACTGGTGTGATGATCTGAAGTGGCAGCTTTGCCCGCTGACGCAGTGGCGGAAACTTCTAGGCCAAATTTTCATTGATCAGATATTTTAATTTTTGATAGTTAGTAAATATAAAACTAACCATTTAGATTACGCTAACCTACCACTGGAATTTCGATGTCCACCTCAAGTTTTGTCATTTAATAAAATATTTTGTGCTTGTATAACAGGACAAGTTAGGAGGGAAATGTGTGTTGTGAAATGTGAATTATGCAATAAAATTAACACAACTTTTCACCTGGTGTGATTTCGGAAACATCAGGAAATACAATTGGGAAGTGTCAGCATTACTGTGCCTTATTTTGAAAGCATTTTTCAAAACAAAGGGGTTTGTTTTCATTGTTACAACTAAATCTGTTTTACAAACTTAACAAACACAGTTACTTTAGTCTTTATGTTATCATCTTAAATAAAATTCTTGCTATGTTCATCTCTGCGTTTCAATAAATAACTTTTTCTTTGAATGTTTCTTTGTGGTTTTCTGTATGATTCTGTATGAATGTAGTAGACATGAACATGAACATTCGGTAAACATCTCATTTCTCACAAGTAGAATCTCTTGAAATTAGACACAGTACTTTTAAGTAGCTTGTCCAATCATGATTGACAAGGGAAAGGCAGAGTTCACTGCAATCCATCATGTTTCCACTGTAAGCAGATTAATTTATGTGGGGTGCTGGTTCCCACTCCTGTCCTTGAGTAAACGCAGCTATTCAGCGTCTGTCTTCTTTCTTTCTCCAAACTTTCTATATCCAAGTTCACATTTAGTTGAATGGGATGTGATTGAGTAGGAACATAACGATCACACTCACTCACACACACACACAGACAGAGGGGGTTAATCAAGGAGAGGATTCAGGACTGCCGTTGTGTTATCTGTGATATCCAAGAAGTCTGCATTATTGTGACTCAGGGGATGGAATATTGTCTTCTTGACTCATTCATTCATTCATACTTTGTGAGTTGAATTCACATGTTTTATATGGTTATCTGCCCAGTTCATGTAAACCGGTGGCTAAAAACTTCAGGTGAAGGTATGACAGCCAACCCAGGGTGAAATCTACTATACAAGCTGCTCCCCCAGGAAAAGTAACTCATCCACTTTTACCGTGACTGAATCTTTATCCTTCTATTAGATATAATACAAACAATGATAACTGTGAAAACATAGTGAAAACATTTTATTGAATCAGAATTATTTATACAACACACTATTGACATCAAGATGACAATGGAATTTTTGCCTTTTCAGGAACTACAGACAATTTTAACTCCAAAAACTGAACTTTGCCCTTTGATGGAATTTGAAGTACTGAAATAGAGAGGGTACATCGTAACAGTACAGCTTCAGCTTAGACCAGCACTGAGTGTACATTTTGTCTGTTGAATGCCTCTGATGTAACACTGTGAAGGTCTGTTGTATTGCCATGCCTTCTTGCTCCTTATTGGCTGGACTGTTCTTTCTGGGGGGTGGAGTTCCACAGTGGCTCCAGGATGTGGTCTGGGATCTTTTCTATTGCAGTCTGTATCACAAAATAACATTTTTTTCTTAGAAATTAAACTCCTCCATTTGATTTGTGTTTGTATTGCATGTATATTACCCTCAGAGAAACTATGAACTACAAAGATGCAAAAAAGATACCACAAAAATCTCAACTTTCTCTTAGTGACACTGCTTTTGTTCTAAAAACCAATAAGGACAGATATATTAAACAACTGATTGTCAGTCCTGGTTCTGGTGGGCTGCATTATGAAAAGGTTATTCAGCACCCTTTGAACTTCTAATAACCTTGTACAGAGAGGTTTCTGACTAGGTTCAGTTAGTGCAACATTTACCAACTTGGCTTCCCATGAAAATCTGACTTATGCTGTGATGCTCCTGGAATGAAGAACTGAATAATTGACCTGGAAGACATGGTGAGAAATGCTAAAACAGCCTAATTACCTTAGTCACCTCCATTGCAACCCCTTCCGGCAGGTTACGCTGAATGTACTCTAGAAACACCTCTGCGGTAGAACCTGTTAACCGTAAAAACTACGGGGGGGAAATCACATCTTCAGCCCCAGTAATAACACATATGAGGAAAGTTTGTAAAAAGAGGGAAGATAAAAGGTTTAGTCAAGTTCTACTTCATACAACTAACTGATGATCAGGTATTGAAGCAAATTTCGGTAACGAATTACAAAACACCAAAGCTGTTTTAAGATCCACCAGAGCGGCACCTTCAGTCAGGCGCATGATGCGGGATTGTCCAGAGTCCTCACCTCTATACACCTGTAGTGTGTCCTCATCTCATACTGTACCCTGTGCTTCTTGTGGATGTGAACAGACTTAAGGACAGTCAGTCTTTCAATCTTCTTTTTGGGTTCGTAACTGAAATAAAAATAAAATTCCACCCCCCATCACTACCGGAAGAGGATTGACAGATCGCGAAGGACAGAGATGTATCATCATCTGGCAGGTGGCAATGACACCCGAGTAATCCATCTTAAAACTATTCTCTTTGTCCCCCATTACAATTTAAAACCCAAATTTTCCCTGTGACTGTACTCACACTTGACCTATAGTGATCCCAAGCTCCTGAGCAGACCACCCCTGATTCCCTGTGACTGTACTCACACTTGACATATAGTGATCCCGAGTTCCTGAGCAGACCACCCCTGATTCCCTGTGACTGTACTCACACTTGACCTATAGTGATCCCGAGCTCCTGTGCAGCCACGGTGGTGAAAAACTCATAGCTGTCCAAAACCGCCTTGTCATGTCCCTTAACAAGGACCTCCACCTTCCCATACAGCACATCTGCTTCGTCTGTGACTGTGATCTGATGGGGAAGACACAGACACTTGGGATTTACAATGCATGCAGAAACCACAGGTAGCTATCAGACTGGGGGGGGGGACAGGCTACTCACAGCTGGGGGGAGAGAGTGGAAAACACTCCCCGTGTGCAGGCGTGCTGCTGCGTTCCAGGCGCTCTGTCCAATACCCGACACAAACAAAGTCCCACATTTCCCAGTACTCCGACTGGAATGCACACATCTTATTTCCTGTGGAAAAAAGGTAATTTTAAGGAAGTTCAACAAATGTGTCATTTAAATTCTTTTACAACTTTTTTTTTTTTTTTTTTTTAATCAACGCTATCTTACAAATATGTGTCACTAAGGCAACAATGCCTTCATATGTCATGTAACTCCACAAAAAGTAATAATGTAACTATAGTACTTGGCCATGGTCAGGTCAGATCAGGTCAGGTCGGGGAGTTGGCACTTCTACAGTGTGTTGCTGCCACCCCCCCCCTATAGTGAAAGACCTTGGGATCCCGGTTGACCACCCCTCTTCCGGAAATGGCTGTCTGTCTGCCAGGTGTTACGTGGGCGTCCCCTCGGCCTGGTCCAGCCGTTTGGGTTCTCAGCAATGAGGATCCTGCGAGCCGGATCACCCTCAGGGAAACGCGCCACATGGCCGTAGTGCCGTAATCGACGCTCCCTCACAAATTTTCACAATGCAGGTAATGTGCCTCATTTGGGACTCCCTGAGCAAGTGCTCATTTCACAGAAAGGAGTCTCAAACTCTCATTACCCACTGGTTATGTGGTGTTCCCCCAAGGGGGCCACATGAGAAATCCCATTTTTTTTTCCAACTTGAAATTTTAAATTCATCTATAAAAAAAGGGCCTCTGACCAATTAAAGAAAGAACAGAACAGTACAAAGTAGAGATGATGCTTTCTGACACGCAAGAAATCTACAGAATTCCATGACAAACCTAAAATTAACTACATCAAAAGCATTGGGGTAGTTTGCAAACCGTAAAGTAATAAAACTGTTACATACATGTAAATACGCGTGCATAGGTGTGCAGACTTGTATGGAATTAAAAATCTCACAGCAGCCAGCTAAGCAGAGCTAGCAGCTCTGGATAACAAGTTCCACACAGCACAACAAAACGTCATACAAGGCTAATGTTTGCCTATTTTTTTAAAATGTAATTTTATTTCACAGCTAGGAAGTTAATTGGATAGATACTATAACCTAAGTACTCTTGTTAATGGTAGGTACGTGCCGTGAGCATTAGCCACTCCCCTAAAACCACGCGAATCACTATCGCCAACAAATAACTAAACGTTAAACAACCCTTCAGCTCTGCACCAGACAGCTATCATTCACCGTATATTAACCGATTAGTGACATGTCAAGGTCCTTTGATGAAAACCCAACAGATTAAGGCGAATTAACCCCACCCATGTAACAAGACCAACCTCGGTACACCCGTGTTATAAAGACACAACCAAAAAACATTTTAAAAAAACAAAAAAAAAACAACCTGCTCTGGAAGTCGCAGTCTTCGACACAAGAGTCGAAAACACCTTACTACGCCGACGGAGGCCGCCATCATTGACCGGAAGTGGTTCATACCGGTCTCTCTACTTCAAGAAAGAAAACGATGCTGCCACCTAATGTGCTGGAGTATAAAAGTCACTATAAAGTTAAAACTATTCTGTTATTTACCCAGACGAAGTGTCATTTTAAATGCACCAGAGAAAGACTAATAAAGACGAATTTATGTGCTAATATTTAAATATTTATATAGGTGATGGACGCTATGCATTTATTAAAAATTAACGATTAGTTAATTCCGGTAAATCCCTAAGAACTCAAATCAGGTCTACCAAATACTGTCCTCGGCTCCCCTGAAACCTGTGGAATTTCCTGTTTTTCAAAATAGAAAATAAAGTTATAATTGCTGCTTGTCAAGGTATTGGGAAAATCTCTCAAACAGGTGGAAACCATCAACAGGTGTTTTACTGGGGCAAAGTCAATGGCAGGTTCCTGTGTACATGCAGTGTATGTGTGTTTAAGCAATATCTACGATAGGCGTACAATAATAGAAAACACTCAACCGAGCGATAAATTATGTATATTAGTATTACTTTTAAAAAGAATCGTTAAACACATTTTAAAAATCAGGAAATACATAGCATAATAGTAACATATTTCTGAGAAGTGCTGAAATAAAATTAAACTGCGGTCTTGGTTGGCTCGTAAATGAAAAGCAGGAGAGTTTCAAAACGTGTCATTCTTCTGTCACGAAGCTTTTTCCGTAAGAAAGAAACTTTACAAGCTACAGTTATCACGGGTAATAAGGAAGTGGCATAAGAGTCAGGGGTGTGGCCTGTGAGCACCTTTTCATCGACTGCAACCTAAAACAAACTTGCAGCATAATTTCCTTTTAACCACGCGCTGAATTTGGAGAAAGCAGGAATTGAACGCAGCCTTGCAGGTTGGTGGCACAAAATGAGTGAAATGTGTCAAAACGTTGCGTGTCATTTGAGGCAGATTGTACCTCTTGAATTGTGGAAAATAAGGAAGTTGAACTTTGTCTTGGTTGGGGGCAAAAAAACTGAGGAATGTATAGGCATATGCACCCGGGGATTTTCATGTATTAACATTATAAATCAAACGTACTGTGCGTAACATGTATAGGTCTTGACTTCCAGCATTACGTTAAGTTCATCTCGTACTGAAGTAAATGTATGATGCATATAGTGACTCCATATATCACATTGACTATCATGGCATTTTTTCAAATTTCCTGGATAACTCGTGTAAATATGTATCAGGAAAGCAATAACTTAAGTGTTTTTGTACGCGTATCTGTTTCTAAAATATTATATGCCGCTATTTGCCGCGAAGTTGCGGGACATGTGAAGGGTGTAGGATTGCGCATTACTTCATCGCGGCAAGTTTCTGCACGATGAAAGCGCGGCGTTTGTTGCCGCGGGGTATGAATTAACGTACATATATAACAGCGATCAGGAAGGGGGTGTCAATAATGTCGAAAAAAATGAAATTTTTTCACAATGGAATGTTACAGTTGGAAAAAGTGTTAAGTTCACTATCTTCATGACCAATTTATTATAAGTGTTCGGAGAAATACATTTTGAGAAAACAAAAACACACACACGCTTGTCTCTAAAAGGCACTAATTGCATGTGCTCCGATTTGTACATGAAGTCCACAGCTAAATGAATGCCACAACAAGCCAGCTACTATAGCATTCATTTACCTTCAAAAACATTGTTTGCTGTATTACAAGTGTACAAGTATTGGGAGTGATATACACGAATTGGCAATGATCGATATACAAAAATGCTGTTATAATAGTTGCCATGACCTGAAAATAATATATATAATTTTGCACCCACACCACATCCCTAACCGGGATCAGTGGTTACTAGATGAGTGGAACTTTTACTAATTCATAAGCTTAAACATCTATTGCTGTCATTTTTTTTTTTTAAAGTAAAATGCAATCGTTGTGCTAGGGCTGCTCGATTATGGCAAAAATCACGATCATTATTATTTTGGTCAATACTAAGATCTTTATTATTTGATGCAATTACTCATTGCCTTTGGAAATATGCATTTATTGAACTTTAAAAAAACTTGTCTTATTAACACTGGATTTTTTTTACTTTAAATATAATTCAACTGAGAAATAAACAAAGGGCTGGATTTTTAACAAGACAAACATATACGTCATTGCGAAATGCAATGCGGCCCAATAATTGTTGTATTTTATTTTGTTATATAGTCGTTGGCGGCTCGGGATCACTATAGGTCAAGTGTGAGTACAGTCACAGGGAATTGAAATTAAAACTTGATTAATCGCCTATAGCCCTATGTTGTGCTATCCATTACAGGTTTATGGGAACAACCAGATTAATTGGTTATTATGGCAGTGGGAACGGTGTGAGCCCGTGGTGGGCTGTTTCTGGATAGGCAGGATGCGTTTCTGTCATTGAAAAGTTGCTGGTTCAAATTCAAAGATCAACAGATTGTTTCTACCATTGGGCCTCCCAGCCAGGCCCTTAACATGCGATTGCTCCAGAGATGCTCATATAAAAATACATATGGCCTGATGCACTGACCCGTTCATTTATTGAGAGATTTCGTCAACAACCGGCTGCCTCCTAGATCTACACCAAATTTCCGTATAATTTCCAGATCTCATTGAAAAACTTGCTGGTCAGTTGTTTGAATTTACATGCAAGATTGGTATTGCCAGTAATGAAGTATGTTATGACTCACTAGAAAACTGTGATTTCTAAATTCTATATTTTATATTTAAAAACAAGATCTAAAGACACAATGCCATGTGGTGTTATGTAACATATAGATAATTCCAAAGGAAATTGTGGATATTGAATAAGGAAATATATATGGTTATTTCTGGTACCACACTTTATGTTGAACCAGGTGTGATGTAATACGTGTGGTTTATCTGGGGGATCAAGAATCTTTTTAAAATAGCTTAATGAAACCATGATACGGTCAGTGAGTTTCCATGAGTTAGCTGATGATATTAGATAATACGCTGCATCATTGACTTGCCGGCTTAGCAAGTTAAAAAATTTCCAGCCACTTTCAGTAAGCTCAGTAAAGTTGGTTTTTGCATATTTCGTTTGTCTTCTGAGAAATGGTCAGTGGTTCAACAAAGGCGAAAATGTATGGCTTTGGTTTCTTTCAATATGCTAACTGACCCTGGAGCATATAGCTGTTCCGGAATGGATCTATAGGTGAATTCTGAAGTAGGAGAGCTTCAAATTTTGCACTGCAGCATGCAGTGTTTCTGCTGGATGCAGGTCCCGCCCCACCCCCCTTGCATGCTTACGGAATTCTGTTGGTTAATGGCACAATTAGGCCATATTATGTTGTCATTTAACAGTTGCGCTTATAAAGTTCTAATAAAATGAGCTTACTTAGGTAATTTCCAAGGAAAAAGAAAAACAGAAAAAGTAGGCAAACAGAGCAGGCATTTAATTAGGTAGCGGCAACAATGCATCCCTTTCCTCACTCCCATATGGCCCAATATATACTTCACTTTTCCGCGTGCGCTTTCGGGTTGCAGACGAGGAGAAGTGACATGAATTTCGTCATCAGAGGTTGGCTGCAGACAGCTGCAGTCAGTGTGCGTTTGGCCCAGGGGTGTTACGGTAATAAGGCATACGACGGCGTTTTGAAATCCTTACGACAAAATTAACCCCCCCCCCCCCCACTTAGTGAATTTTATCGACAGTATTTCAAAATGTCAGAATAGCGTAGGGTTTTTAAAATACAGTATTAAAATTTTTCGTTGTTGACTGCTGATCTGTGAACGTTGGTGCTGCCACCTACTGGAAATACCTAATCACTTATCTTGCACATGCGCAATGCACGGACATGCATAGGTTCCACTAGACATACAAAAAATGGGCTACACTTGAGATAGAGATTGAGTTGAAGACTTAATTTAGCAACTGCTAAAAGACATAGTTTTGAAACATAACTAGCTCATAATAATTCACATAATTATTACATGTTTGTGTACCTTCATAGGCAGAAAGGGAACATTCAGGGAACATTCATCACTAAACAATAATACCAGTTATACCAGTTATAATAGTATACAGATTTATTTCTAAATGATGTGGTCGTTAAATTACATGCTGATGTCAGTAGACAAAGACACCTTGCTTCTAGATGACATCCAGTACTGTGCAAAAGCCTTAGGCAGTCAAAAGAAATGTTTAAAGCTATTTATCTGGGTAATAAATGTATTTTTGCTCAGAATGAAAAACACGATTTAGCATTAGAAAATATGCAAGTTAAGAGTAACACAATAAAAACTAATCAAAATTTCACATGGGTGTATTGGATAGTTGCTGCAAATACTAGGGTGATTTTAGAAGACGTTTTGAAATGGCTAAGCTGACAGACTTTGACAGGTAAAATAGCATAGTTTTACTCTAACATAAACATCATTTTCTTTGGCTGCCTAGGACGTTTGTGCCGTACTGTACATGTACCGATATACAGATTTCCTCTGTTTTCCCTTCATTGCCATATTGCTTTGTGTCGAGGCATTATCGCAAAAACATTTTCATAAAGATGGGAATGCTCCCTAAGATGACATGAGTGCAATCTGTGCCTGGATTTCCCAGTTAATAAAAACCTGGTTTTTAATAAGGGCAGTTTGTAGTCAATACAAACTCAAGTTATCGTGTGGCATTACGAGCAGAGCTGTTTTCTGCCATGTTTGTTTTCGTGCACATTCCTTTTCTTCTGCTTGAGGACATTTATTCATGTTAATGTACTGACATGCTAAGGGGTTCTTCACAGATACCCTCTGAGTCTGATTGGCTTAGATCCGTTTGCTTTTCACGGTTCTTACACACATGCTGTGTTGATGTGTTATATATGTTCCGTGCTTTATTTTGCCTTCTTTTTGCACCATTCAAAAACACATCATCATATTGATTCAAAGCCTTTTTCCTTAGTTCTGTTCTGCCTTGTTTCCTACCTGACGTGTCTGAAACCCTGATAGTATCTTTCCAGTAAGTATTGTTACCATAACAACTTGTGTACCGGCCTAACTTGTGCTGGCTTGAAGGCCTTTCAGTAGCAGAAGGAATGTAAAGCTAGGTGTTGCTTTAGATTGTCTCTTAGCCTATTAGCTGCAGGGCCTTTCCCACAGTTATCAGGCTGACCTCTATGCAGTTTTATAAGGGCATTCCACAAAATCCAAAAACACATTGTCAATTTATTTCTGTTTTCTGAAGCTCGTGTCCTGGGTCATGTAACAAATGATGGATGCTCTTTCTTTCTTGACAGAGAAATGGCTTATTTGTTTGCTGAGACTTGCCCATTGAGATATTAGTCTTTTTGTGGTGGTTCACTGGTGATAGGCCTTCGGTGCAAACTGTAGTCTGGTTTGCATTCTTCCTAGTTGGGCCAGGACTGGTGTTTGCACAAAGTTAATATTCATTTCATTGCTGAAGTCCAGCCCGCTCATTCTGCCTGATTGTAGGTAGTATTAACGTGGTCTGCTTAGCCTGTACTGGCAGGTAGTTCATTAGCATGGTGTTTAGTGCATTTAGGCCTATTAACAATATTTAAATTAATACATACGCTAATGTGTGTTGTGGCGAGTGCATGATTTTTCAATAGTTTTGCTTTAATCAGTTCAGCATAACTGTTAGGCCTATTGTTTCTGGTTTTGTCATGTTGTCAATTTTTTAAATAATAAATGTGTAACTTTTAATCAGTTAAATTGTTTTGGTTCCTGGCTTTAAACGGTATGGCGACGTGGGGAAAACAGAACAGATCTACCCTGAAGAACAGGGGTGGCCAATCTTATCCGCGAAGGGCCGGTGTGTATGCAGGTTTTTGGGATAACCTGTAGGTCAGCTGTTCCAACCCAGGTGTGAGGACTATTCAGCCAATCAGTCCTCTAATTAG